CCCATAGCAATGTTTTTTGTGGAACCAATTAAAATCGGTAAGCAAGGCACCACTGTATTTTTCAAATCTAAAAATGCATTTAGAAAATTCTACAACATTTACGGACAATACTACAAGTCATCAGGAAATCTACAAGGAATTTTCTAGCATTTTAGCAGCTGCAAAGGAGAATTTTAGGAACAGATTTTTATAGTTCCGTAAGATGGAGACAACCCTATGTTTTCCTTCTTTTCCAGATAAAGCCAAATTTGAAGAACTTGATCTTTCCTGCTTACACTGGTTAGATTTTGGAAATCTGGAAATGGAGCTATCGGAATTTCGAGAAAAATACATCTGGAAAAATAAATTCTATGACCTGCATGCAAGACTGGAGAATATAGAGTGCAAAGGGATGACAAAGGACAGAACGAACAGTTGGTAGTTCTGAAAATGAAATCCTTAAAGTGTGGAATACTCAGCCAATTAATTTTAAGTAAATGAAAGCACTTGGGATTGCTCTTCTTACTTTGTTTGGGTCATCTTATGCTTGCGAGCAGCTGTTTTCAACTTTGAATTATATCAAATCTGATATCAGAAACAGACTGACAGATGACGTGAGTGCTGCATGTGTTGCTCTCAAACTAATGGAATATGAGCCAAGGTTTGACAAATTATCAGCATGCATACAACATCAAAAATCACATTAATTGTGCAAAAGCATACCAAATGCAAACTTTTACCTAATGCAGTGTTTGCAGTCCACGACACTAGTTTAGGAGTTGTTTCAAGTGTGTTAAGAAGTTTAGTTTTCTTGTTTATCTTGCTCATCCTAATACAGGTTGACTTTTACATTTACTAATCCAACATGCGTAGAAGCAGGGAAAGAACCTAGAGTAATGCTTGCCCCATACAATTTCAGTTTAGCATATAATCATATTAAAAGTTGAGTATCTCTTAATCAAAAATACATGCACAGAATCATTTAAAAAGTTTGTATAAATTACCTGGCTTCAGGCTGTGTACAATGTAGTACTTTTAATATTTTTTCCATTTACTAGAGTTGATGGAGGGTTTTTTCAATAAAAATGTTTGCATCATTGGAAGCTCTGTTATTGTGTTTTTCTTTTAAGACAAAAAGTGTTGATTAGTTCAGACAACTGTATGAATTGTTTTTTCTAAACTAAAACCTCAGAATTCAGGTTTAATTGCAGTGTTGGCACTTCGACATAATTTGGTTTTCTGTTGCAGTTTGGGCATTCAGGCTCAAAAAGGTTCACTATTACTGCTCTAGGCGCACTCTCTATCGTGTCCACAACCCTGATGCTGTCTTTTTACAGAAACAACCTGCTCCTAATTTTATTCACAATCCCACTCTCAATATTAACAAATTCTAATAACACCTAATAAAGACAGTAGACATATAGACTTCATGGGGAGATCACTATAATCAAGCAAAAATGTCTAGGAAAGCTCTCCAAAGGTGTCATCCTGTTGCATGACAACGCCTCATCACACATTGCAGGTGAAACAATGGCAAAACGGAACTCCTTAGGCTTTCAAGTGATGCCCCATGCACCCCATTCTCCCGACCTGGCTCCTTCTATTATCTATTCCCCAAACTCAAAAAACACCTAAAAGGGACAACGATTTGGGAGTGTTCTGGAGGCAACTAATGCTGCAAATGAGTGGTTACAGCAGCAGTCGGAGGAATTTTATTTGCAGGTACTTAAGAAGCTGCAGGACAGATGTTGCAAGTGCATTGACTTCTTGGGAGAATATGTAGAACAGTGTGACAGTTACAGCTTCCTAGCTCATTTTTTTCTGGGAAAGGCTCAATATTTATCAGCACCCCCTCATACCTGTCATTATCTTATACAGCTCTTTACTTTGAGCCAGAATTCTCTTGTCACACTCTTGAAGGTATGTGTCACCTGTACCAGACCAGACCTCTCCAGGAATGAGCACATCTGGTGCACTAGTTTTGATTATGCAAAGGTCCTCCTGGCCACTGCCAAAACCAGGTTCAGAGATGAATCCAGGAGCATCCTTAAGCTGCACACCTGTGTTTTTAGAGGGAGTGCACAGGCTGCATCTCTTTTCATTGATGCCTTTAGAACCAGAAGCACCTCTGTCTTGTCTGGATTGGGTTTCAGCTTATTTACCCTCATCTTGTCCATTACTGACATCAAACACTGATCTAGAACTGAAACAACTTCCTCAGATTTAGATTACAAGGAGAGATGGAGTTGGGTGTCATCTACATCAGTGGTTCTTAACGTGGGCGATAATGCCCCCCAGGGGGCGATTTCATTTTTCAGGGGGGCGGTAGAACGAAAAGGGGCGGTGTGGGGGCGCTGGAGT